ATGAGTCATGAACGCATGTGAAGGAAAGCTGCTGCTCACCTTGTTTGACCTCTGGGCCCTCTGCAGGTGCTGCTGGAGAAGTACGGTTACCTGGAGAACTTCCAGCTGGTCGACGGGCGCCTGCTGATCTGCACTGTGTCCTGTCTGTTCGCCATGCTGGCTCTGGTCTGGGACTATCTGCACCCCTTCCCCGAGTCCAGACCCGTCCTCGCCTGCTGCGTCATCTCATATCCTTCAGCCGGACACATCTCACCTCTGCTTTTAACAAATACGATGAACTCACAGTGTGTCGTATGTTAAACATGTGAGGGGAAAAATGTTAAAATAAGATTCAAAATTCAGAAACGACAGAATCAGTAAAAATGTTTTTACATATTAAAAACACTGAAAGTCTCCTGAATGTCACTAAAACACAAAAACAAACGTTTTTAGAAATGATTCCGTCTAATATGATGATGATGATGATGAGCGTGTTGGCTTTCCCTAACTCCTCTTCCTCACGTACTTCATCATGATGGGCATCCTCACGCTGTACACCTCCTACAAAGAGAAGAACATCTTCCTGGTGGCCATGCAGAAGGATCCAGCTGGGATGGATCCAGACCACATCTGGCAGCTCTCCTCCTCCCTCAAACGGTCAGTGGGAATCAAACCAGCAACCCCAGCAGCACATTTCCTTATCTGCGATGGACTCAGTGGATCAGTTTGCGTCTGTGTTTTCCAGGTTTGACGACCAGTACACGCTCCGAGTGTCCTTCTCCGACGGGAAGGCCAGGAAGTCGAGAGAGGCGGACTTCACCAAGTCAGTGTCGGCGTTCTTCGACGAACACGGGACGCTGGTGATGGACCAGTTTGAGAAGAGCGTTTCTAAACTGCACGACACGCTCGCCGCCGACAAGAAGACCAAATAAAAGACGGGAAGCAAACGTGGTGTGAGCCTGCCTCCTCTGTTCCTCCTCACAGTTCACTGGTTTCAGCTCCATCAGGAGCTGCCAGAGGAAACTTATTCATGCATTCATATCTGCAGTCTGTCTGTTTTTACCACCACACTCTGAACAACCCCAGAGGTCAGCACGCCATGCCGCAAACCGGGGGCCTCTCCTTTATTAGTCAGACTCGGCAGCAGAGTCACAGGTCCGTGTTGCCCACTCATGCTCCGAGAGTGGGAATGATCTGAAACCAGTGAACTTCAGGAGGGACAGAGACCAGAGTCAGAGGCTCAGCTCCACTGAAGGGTTTCTTTTCCTGTCACAGCTGACTGTCACTCAGAGGTCAAAGGTCAGGTGTTTTGTCAGCAGGTTAGGAACATTTCAGCTATTTAAAAACATCCTGAGACTCAATGCGTCTTCACCGGGTCTCCGAGTATTAAAGGTTTAAGGACCGCTGTGTGACATGGCTGTGGTGGGCGGAGCCTTACGTAAGGGTCACGGCGGTGGGGAATAAGCAGCTAATGATGGCCAACGGTTTAAAAATAAAATGTGATGTTTTCAGTGTTTAAAGTAAAGTTTTCGTCATTGTTTTCTCTGTGATGTGAGAATCAGTTTGAACTGCAGCAGGTGTCTGAACAGGTGAACTAACCGGTGCGTCGGCTCACTGGCTGACGCGTTGGTGCCGTACAACAGGAAGTGGACATTGATCAGACCTTTATTTTAAAAGTTTTTTATTCTCAGATGCTTTCTCTGTATTAAAAAAACATTAAACTTGGATCTTGTTAGAGAAACATCTGGATGTGTGTCTCACTTTGAGTTCAGCTCTCAGCCCCCACAGGGTCACCTGCACAGGTGACCCTGGTCAGCAACCTGTGGGTGTGGCTTTGGTTTGTGTGGAGGTGTTTGTGGTGCAGCACCGCTGTCCGGCCAGCAGGTGGAGAACTCAGGCTGACGTTCGCGTCCACAGGCAGCAGCCGGCGTGCAGCTCCAACACTGTTCACACGGTTTCTCTTAAAGAGTCAGTGATTGGACACGCGTGGAGGGTCTGAGCACTTCCTGTCTGCGTCCTCTGAGCACCGTCAGGCGTTGATGAGGTTCAGTTTTCCAGCAGCGACGTCTGAACTGACAGCAAAACAATGCTGATTTCAATTTAAAGGTCCTGAGTTCAATTCGCCCGCCTGGCCGGTCCATTCACAGGTATGAATGGTTGTCTGTCTCTCTGTGTTGGCGACCTGTCCAGGGTGTGCCCTGCCTCCTGCGCTGTGGTAGCTGGGATAGGCTCCACCCCCACCATGACCCTGTCAAGGATAAGAGGATGGATGGATGCAGTTACATTTAAACCTGACTCACCTGAACTAGTGTGAACAAATCTAAACCTGTGATTTGGTGGATAAACAAAATCTGTCAGCCTGCAGCACAGATTTAAAGTCGCTCCTTGAACTGTGAAACTTTTCAGAGCTCACGACGTGAAACTATGAAATCAAAGCGTTTAAAGATTTCCTGATAAAAACATGTCAAACTCCAAACCTCGTATTTGGCTTCAGTCTGCAGAAACCAAACTGAACAATAAAGTTACATCAAATAAAATCATATGCAACATTCGTGCTGATGATGTAGAGACCGTCTGATACTCACACGTCTTCAAATGGCCTCTGAGACTCCACCCCAAAGATGGTGGCAGCTAAAATGCTCAGGGTCCAAGAGGCCGAAGTTGCTCAAACACAAAATTTATGTGAAACTCAGTTTTTAACCATAATGAGGTCAAACTGGTTCAAATGTAAACTGTTGGAGTCAGCCCGGCACACGGCTGCTGGGCTAGCATTAAGCTAAATAACACAGAAACAACAACAATCAGACAACGCCCTGTAAACAAGCACTTTGGCGACAGGAAGAAGCCTCCAGCAGACTCAGAGGGAGCTCTGCGGTGAGTGTTTGGGATCATCGGTCTAAAGACCTTCATCATAAATGAGCGTGTTTAAATTTGGTCTGTTTTCCCGTTAATCTGACGTTATCCAGGTGCCAGTGTCCATCTGTTATTTACAGGCTGTGGGTAGAGCACCTGTGGAGATTTTTTGTTTGTTTGTTTTTAGGTGACAAACAAATAATAAAAAAAAAAACGCTGGCAGATTATTGTACATGTTTTTAAATTGTTCTCTTTAAGGCAGCACCGCTGATGTTATTCACTGCTCACAGAGAGGGGTGTGGCCACCAGACAGGGGTGGGGTTAGTGGTGAGGGGGCAGGGCCATGAGTGCAGGCTGCTGCCTGTCAGTGAGGCACTGATCAGATGTGTGTCAGAGTGCTGCTGTCTCTCGGCCATGGCCTGTCTGATGGCTGCCTGGTCCGTCCACAACCCCACTGTCACCAACTCCATCATCATGGTGAGTATGAGGACTCCAGAGGTATGATGAGGGGTGACCCGCTGTGTCTGCTGCTGGTTTAAGGAAAGGAAACAGCTTTTAAGCAACGAGGTCTGTGTGGGAATCAGCCTGAATGTGACGGTCAGCTGTGTGAGGCTCAGCAAATCTCACATGTTTGGGTTTTAAAGAAGTTAACAGTCCTGCAGCTCCACTGCACCAAGGTCAGCTGCTCAGGGAGGAAGAGGAGAGTCCTGATGAGCAGAGTTCTTCTCATGATGATAATGTGATTTTAACTTGAATGATACTGCCGGGTTATCCTCATCGTTTCTGTGTTCACGCACTGAAGGGGCAGTTCTGTAGTGCTGGGGTGTTAGTGCCTCTGTTGGGATTGTTCCTCTAAGACAGTGACTGCTAAGACTGGAAACCTACTGCATGAAATGTTGGGCTGTAGTGAAAATGGAGTCAGGGTGGACAGACGGGGGGATTACAGGATTTTTTAAACAAGGGGAATTCAAAATATATACTAAACCAAAACTTCGAACATTGCTAAATAATGCTCAGACCTCCAGCTTATCTGCAGGGACAAAGACTGTATATAATAGATGGCAGTAAGCACACTGAAATCACTCATTCGTTTCAGGATTCACATTTTAGCCTCCAGAGCATTGTTTTTTACCCAGACGTAAACAAGAGGGTGGCGTGCTAATGCTAGCCAGCTTGGTGAGACGGTATGGAGCATCACGCAGATACAGATGATGCTAATTCAGTAACATCACCGACACTGGAGCCTTCGTAGACTGTGAGTACAGTACCCTCACAGCAGCGATATTATTGGTCAGATAATATCATTAAAAATGCTCCAAAAGGTTCAAGTGAAACTCGCAGCTACAGCCGCCTGTGTCACCATCCACCTGTCAGTCAAAAGGCCACGCCCCTGACAATGCAAACTTTAAACACCCTCGCAGCGTACCGTTGTTATGATGGCTGAGATTGTCCACAGAGACCAAACATCAGGCTGCGAACATAACTCACTGCTGCCTCTGCTGGAGAAAGTGCAGTTATAATCGAGACCTCCTAATGTCTGCCTGGGCTGTGATGATGTCACAGCACTGTTTCGGGGTGTGACAATCAAATTCCACGCAGGGGCGGGGCTCCAGTAGCCACGCCCATGACTGGAAGTTTTGAAAGTTTAGTAGCTCTCACGGAGCGGACTCATGCTGGGAGGATAGAAGCCTTTCTCCTTTCTTAACACGTGTAAGTACATTTACTTAATACTTGAGCATAAATTTGTTCCTCCATTGAGTCTTTCACTAAGACTTTTACACAAACCATGTAAAACTTGTAAAAATGGGATGAATTTAAAATCGTACTGTTTATGGGCTGAAACGATGAGTCACAACAAAGGTTTCTTACGACTTTAAGAACTTTTACAAATCAAACGGAGGAACGCATTCATCTGTTGCTGCAGGTGTCTCGATGCTCCAGCAGTACAATTGTCCGGAGGAATAAAATACAGTGATTTAAGTACAGTTTTCAGATTATACTTATGTTGCAGTCAATTTATGAGGTGATCCACAGGCACTTGTACTTCCTTTACTGCTGCACACACAAATTTTCCTCGTAAACATCATGAAATCTTCTGATTTCCTGAAAAGCTCTTTGTTTAGTCACATGTTTATATGTCTCTGAGCTCAGGATTATCTCTGCTCCTGTCTGTGTGGTCACAAACTATTAGTTATGTGTATGTATTCATATTCTGCTTGAGTTTTACAAAAAGCATCACTTCCACATAGAAAAATATTCTCAACATGAGTCAGTGATGTAAAGCTGTTCGTGCTGCAATGATGAGCAATGACAGAAAAGTTATTTGGTAGTCTTTTTAAGCAGACAAATGAAGCCAAACAAAAGAAGATGGACAAACTCCAAGGCAAGAAATCATTTTTGTTTTAAAATTGTTTTCTCAAATTTTGGCTGACAGGTGACATCAAACACCTGTGACCAATAATATGTCTGCTGTGAGGTTGCCGTAGTAACAAACTGAGCTCCAGGGTTAATGAGGGAAACTGTGGGATTTTGTTATTGATTAGCAGGTATCTGTGTCTGTAGACTGATAACTAGCTCTTAACTTAGTGCTCCTTCCTCTCATCCAAATATGGTCACTTCCTGAAAACAAGAACCAACATGGCGCGAGACACATCTCAGGCACTGATGCTTCATCACGCGGAGTGGAGAAACCTCTGATACTGACCTTTATGTTCAGATTGTAATTTAGATCTCAGTACTGAGAGTGGAGAAATCAATGATAAGGGTTACCATGGTGACCATGGCAATAATTTTGCTGAATCACAGCAGCAGGATGCTCAGTTTAAATCCTGCACTCAGCCTGTTCTTTAGCTCGGTGACTAAGCTCTGCCCGACAGCTACCTCCTGCTCGAAGGCAGATTAGTGCCTCGTTCGGGTCAGGTCAGTCACACATGGCCGTCCTACAGGAACAACACCGGACTAGCTGATGGCTAATCTGACAACATCCACGTCTGCGTCCAGGCCTGCTGCAAAACATGTAGAGAATCAACAAACCCAGACAACAAACATTTGCTCTGCAGGATGAGAGCTGACAATCGAAACCAGCAGGCTCCTCAGTCAGCTTTTTAAGGAGGGATAGAGGTTCGAAACTATTATCGGCGCGCTCTCACTGTACTGCACAAGGAGTTGGCACAGGATTTATTAGAAAAACAGGGTTTCATTTATTTAACCCAAAAAGTTATATTTTCAAAACAAACATGTTGAGCTCATAAAAAAAACTAAACTCAGCCAAAGAAACATAACTGACCCAAAGAAACATAACTGACCCAAACAGGAAATGACACACAAAGGTATATAATGGCTGATCAGACCACTATGACACAACACAATCACATACCACAAAAAACGATGCAGTTCAGTTTGTTAATAAACTAAACAGCAAAGAAGAAAATCAAAAACATTAAACTCAAATATTTAGTTAACTACAAAAACATGTTTAACCTCCTAAGACCCGAACTCTTCCACAGCAGCATTTTTAATTTCTCTTTGATATCTGGACTGATTGGGACCTAATAAATGTAAAAATTACCAGATTTTTTTTACCTGATTTTTAACCATCCATTCGCTTCCGCTTATCCTTTTCAGGGTCGCGGGGGGGCGCTGCAGCCTATCCCAGCTGTCATGTGGCTCTCATTTTTCTAAGAAAAATAAGAGCCACATATGAGGATATTCGTTTAAAATTTTGATAGAACAGTAGCAGTATAATGCCCTCATAAGTGGATATCAGGCCCTTGTAGAGCAAAATTGAGTATTTTAGTCTAACCCAAAATGTGATGTCCACATATGTGGACGCCAGGTCCTAGGAGGTTAACTAAAGAAAATACACATTCTGCCCCCTTCAACAGGAAGTGGTGGTGTGGTCCAGTCAGCCCATCTATGTATTTAAGTTTTTTAAACACTGGCCAACATCTTTTGTCTGGCAACAAAAGATGCCAGGGATGATGGCAGGTAAGAAATGGATGATGATGATGGATGGATGATGATGGATGGATGATGATGTGGACAGATGATGGTGGATTGATGGATGATGGATGATGTGGATGGATGATGATGGATGGATGATGATGTGGATGGATGGAGATGGATGATGATGATTATGATGAGGATGGATGTATGGATTGATGGATGATAATGTGGGTGGATGATTATGGTTAGATGGATGGATGATGATGGATGGATGATGATGTGGATGGATGGATGATGATGATTATGATGAGGATGGATGGATGATGATGGATGGATGGATGGATGATGATGTGGGTG